TTCCTCTGTAGTAACAGGCAGGGAAGCTGAGAATGTGAGTGCAGACCCTGAGGTAAGTGTGGAGGCAGAATCTAGGTAAATTTCCTTCTGACTGGCTCTATTTTCTCTGTGAGGTAGTAAACAAGGTCATCAGCTAAGAGTGGTTTGGGAGGGTGACGAATAAGTGGAAGTTGTTATGTCTGGAGCATATGAGATTACTGGTTCCAAGTCAGCCAGAATTGGGGCTACCTCTCTGGGCAGGATGTTACTTTTGATGAGGCAATGAAACTTCACTCATGAAGCACCAAGAGATTGAAGTCAGTCTAAGGAGGGGTGGTAACATCACTTTCTCAGCCCTCTGCCTGAGGTGGGATGTTGCAATTATCTAAACAGATTCAGGGACTCAGAGCTTGTGAGGTACACATTTGGGTTACGGTAGGCATGGGTGGGCACAGCAGACTGATGCTCTGAGCGGGGGAGTGTTCTGACCTCTGCTACTGTTCTGCCCTGGATATTAAGAGTCTCGTAGCAGACCCCAATCACAATCTTCTGTTCTTAATTTGGGACAAGATAAAAAAATTTTTCCCTTTATCTTTTATTTGGATAGATAATTTTTTTAAATTTTGTGTATGTATATATTTTATATATATGTATATATACACATAAGTATATGGAAATGTATATAAAGGTAGAAAAAGCAAGAGAGCAGGCTTGATTTATGAACAAAACGAGCTTTATAAATGGGATTTGTAGACTTATGTATTCCCCTTCCTCATTGCAGGTATTCCGATCAACTCTAGGAAGGAGCACAGGGACCTTGCTTAAGAATAATAATCAAAAACCTGTTATCACCATTTTTCCTTCCTCTGAGGAGTCTTGATATGTTGCTGTCAATAAATAGAAAACATAACTCAAACTGGCTTAAGCAAAAGGGGGATTATTGACTTGGATAATAAAACAATTTGACTCCAAGGACTGTCTGATCCAGTGTCCAGATGGATCAGCGGGAACCTGTTTCTTGTTCTGAAATGACTCCATTCTTGTGCTTGCTGTTCCCGTATGAGGTGGAGTCCTCTGAGAAGCAGATGCCAGGACAGGATTAGACAGGGTGATGATTTGGTTCTCCATGTATCAATGTCAACTCAGGCCCTGTGTCCAAAAGTCCTCAAGATGTCAGGTGTTCCTCTTTTCCCAGTGTACAATCACCCTAGTAAATGGTTGTAGGTCACTTTGGGGAAGGACCAGGAGAATTATTACGGTATGTTTTTGGTGCAGTGTGGTGGAGTCCCTTCTAGAACTTAGACAACTCTTCAGTCAGTGGGTTCTGGATCTGAAAATTGGCTCAAGTTTGGGAACTGAGCAAAGGGTCATGACTCTTTATTGGAGCTAATGCTCTCAGCTTCTTACTCCTCCATGCTTTCCCATTTCTGGTTGTGGATGTTAAGCAACACCCTTGCTGACGGCCCCTCTATTTTGCCTCTAAGGATGCCATACTCTGTTAACTATCTCTATAAGCCCCTGTAGGACAAACCCTCAATGGCTGCCTGTCTGACTTTGGCAGGTGTTATAGTAATTGTGGTCCTCTGGCTTCTTGCATTTAAGCACTACAAGTTCGCCATTATTACCTCAGGGGCTCCATCATTCCCATTGGGTATTAGGAAGCCCAGCTCCACAAATGCTTCTACTATCAGTCTTGGCCTGCGTTGGAGAGCCATCACTGAACTTCTTAGTGATGCTGGTGCCCTTCTTACCAGCACATTCCTGTTGGCCTTGGTGAACGGTGTTTTCTCTGGACCCTCTCCTGGATCATAATCATCTGGTGGTTTTTCTGCACTCACATAATATATCTACTTCAGTAAGCCTAATTCTCTCAGCCTTTTTATTTCTTCCACTTCTTTCTGCCTGGGAAACTCAGGCATTTCCACTTTCCTTGGTGTTGGCCATCACTTTCTTCAGGCTTCTAAGAGCCACTCTAACAGTGAGTTTGCCCCATCCCCTAGAGTCTTGCCATGATATTGTCTCATCTCCTATGAAAGTACCCCCAAGTCGATGAACTCTTGCTTATCCAGTTTACCATTCTAGCCCCTTGATAAAGCACCCTCAAAATTCACTGTTAGTGGTACTCATTGGGTCCTGCCAATATAAGCTAATTATACTTTGGAATATAATTTATTTCCTGTATTATCAGGCTCAGCATGTCCCCAGCTGGATTCTACTGGGGTTTAACTCTAGTTATTGGCTTATCAGCCAGGGGATGAGGCAGAGTGGAGCTCCTGTGAGGGCACCTATTGAGAGATCCTTGTTTTCTAGCACATGAGGAGGCCACCTCTGCAGGCTCTGAGATTTCAGGGAGACCTGCAGGGTCAATATCACATGCTTAGGAGCATCCATCCGTACACCAAGGCCATCAGGAATGTGCTAAAAGGGACACCAGTATCACTAAGAAGTTCAGTATCTCTCATCCATAGGCCAAAACTGACAGTAAAGGCAGTCACAGAGTTAGGTTCATTAATATCCACAGGAATAATGAGGTTCCCAAAGTAATAGAGGCCAGGTGGTGGCACTTAAATACCAAAGATATGTTGTAGGGTCCCAGCTTTCCCCAGCCAGAGCTCTGGGCTTAGCGTGAGACCTGCCTGGCTGAGCAAGTAAATGTCTCTGGAGCTCTGTAACTATCAGGTCCTCAGTCTGCTGCTAACCTGTGTCCCCTCTTCTACTACAATGGATAAGGGCTACCAAAGGGGTCCTCTGGCTTTCACACTTAGTCTTTAACTGCTAGTCAATGGCACTTGGTTTCTCATTATCCTTCTGCAGGGTATCCGAACAACTCTATAACCAACCATTTCTGCTGTCCCTGTAGGCACTGCTCCCTTGTGTCTTTCAAATTATTGAATTATTACACCTACCAGGGCATTCCCCTTCACCAGTTCATTTCCCAGGTGGAAAATGTTTCACCACCAGTGAAATTTTTAGTAATTCAGCTGTCATCTCTTTCAGGGACTATCCATATGCCACGTACTGCTCCAGATGGCATCTTCTTTACTCATTGGATAGAAAGTGAACCAGTCTCAAAGCTTTATCTTACCACTTGTTTTCTCAGAACACTTACAGTAACATTTGTGTTAGTTTGTGTCCTTCAAGAATCAGCTGCCAAGATGGGATTAGAAGTGCAAGAAGTTTACTGGGGAAACAGTTGGGAAAGATAAAGGGGAGGGAGCTGGTGAAGGTGAGGAGAACCTTCAAATAGTGATACAGGTATGACACCTGTAAAGAAAAGGGGAAGGAAGAAGGATTTGTTTGGTAGAGTTTCAGAGTACAGCCTGATTTTAAGAAAGTTTCAACCAGATTGATGGGGAGTCCTCAAGCCAAAATCTTCCATTGGAGGCATTCTGCACTAGTGTTCCTGCGATGTTTAGTGTTGCCTGGGAGAAGCGTGTAGGAAGCATGACCTTGGCACAAATATGAGGGGGGAATCTGAGGGACAACAGCTGAGGCCATCAGTCAATTATGCTCTGAGCAGGGCATTTGCATGGCCATACTCTGCATGGTTTCAATTTGGCTTTTAGCAGCTACGGTGATTAAATCCTTCCAAGTTTGCATCCAGAGAAAGATAAGCCTATTTGTCCCAGCATTCCTAACAAAAGCCTGAGACTGGCTTGAATTGGACCAGCATAGGTCATCTGCCCACTTCTGAGCCAGTCATGTTTGCCAGGGAAATGCCATGTTCTGATTTGTTCAGGTCTAGTTTTCATGCTCCACTCCCAGGATAGGTATTGGAGCCCCACCTATAGCATGAGAACTGAGAAGCAGTGAGGGGCAGATTCCCAAACAGAAACATGCACATAAAGAATATATGTATTCTCAGTTTTAACGGCTGTTGCCAGATTGCTTTCCAAAGACATTATAACAATTCACAGTTCCACCAAAAGATATAAGGGTACAAATTCTCTACATCTTTGCTAGTAATGTATGTTAGCTTTGTTTTAAAATTTTTGCCAACCTGATGGATACAAAGAGCTAGCTCATTATTACTTCAATTTACAATTTCCTAGTACTAGCATATTTTAAAATATTTTTTTTCACAAATTCGTTGGCTACTTGGATTTGCTTTTCTGTAGATGGACTCTTCACATCCTTTGTCTATTTTCCTTTTTTTTTTTTTTCCTTTTCTTGTCAGTCTGTAAGAGCACTTTTTATATTGTAGCTAATATGGTGTTAGTCTGTCCTCTACATTGCAAATAGACAAAGAAAAAGCAGTCTGGAACTGTGCACATGTCTTCCCCTACTTCATCTTTATACTGGATTCATAGTCCTCAGGGTGCAGTGTAGATCAATATGCCAGGAATGCTCTGGGATAACTCCAGCATATATTTCATTTTTGAAAAACAAAACAAGATAGACCCTGGTCAAGGTCAAATTTCCATGCCTGGTCCCTATGCCCTTCCACCTCACATGCATTGGGGCAATATTCCTCAAATTTCAGTTATTCTGGAACCACCTTCACAATTTTGCCATATCCCTTAAATCATGTACTACTATTTATATTTCTAAAACTTGACATTTTAACATAGATTTATTTTAAAAGAAAGTTTATATTGTTGCCATTATATCATTATAATTACTAGCTATATTTTTCTGAGACACATTGAAAATAAATGCATAACTATGGAAATAAAAGATATTCATTTGCATACCACTTAAAATACAGCATACTTTGGGAACATGCTCAAGAGTCACAGACTACTCAAGGAGATCAAGGATTTACAGGGCTGTGAGTTTCAGGACCTCACCACTTAACGACACAACAACCCCCATGGGTGGAGTGAACAGTAGGTTGTTTCTCTTCTGAGGAAAGCAGCACAGAAAGGTGCAACTGTGTTACATGCTATTGAGTGGTAGAAATTAGAATCCAGGCCTTTCTCCTAAAACAGTGGTGTAGCAGGGATCTTTCAAGTCCAGGGGCTGAACCTGGGTAGTCAGGAGCCTAGGAAGCCCCACCCAGGGTGGACTGGGATTGCATCGTGAGCATTCCATGTTCTGGCCGGAACATTAGGAGTTCTAAGGTTCTGTGAATTATGCTGGGCCCCAGGCCTGGAAAGGGGCTGTGACTAGGGCAGGTCTTAGTCCCTGAACACGGTCTGCCTATCCAACTCTGTACCTGGTGCCTGTCACGGTCCCACGGGCCAGGACCCGGTGGAACCCAGACCTGAGGAGCGATGTGCTGGCTGCGGGCATTGGGCCAAATCCTCCTGCCAGTTTTCCTCTCCCTCTTTCTTATCCAACTGCTTATCAGCTTCTCAGAGAATGGTTTTTCCCAAATCTCCAGCTACACGGCGAAGCAGAGAACAAAATCTGTAGATGATGGTGAGCCATCCTTAGCCCAGAGGCTGGTGCCCAACACGTGCCTCTGCTGGCTGTATTCCCTTTTGGTTGTGCCACCCTGGCAGGCTGAGATTTTCATCTCTAAAGTTGCTGTTTGGTGTTAGAGGGAAGACATTTTTAAACGCTCTTGACATTTTTGGTGAAATCCATGTAAATTAGTCTTGAATTAATTTGCTTTATCTGAAATGTGATAAGTGGATTAAAACAATTTTAAATTTGGGAAACTGTGTTTCCCCTCCCTGACTTTTTCTATAACCTATAGCATAAAAGCTTTATGCTGTGAATAAGCTGTTGGGTTTGTTCTAATCAGACTCCACTCAATGGCCATAGCTAGTCTTTCTTAGTGTTGTAAGGTCTTAGTTAATAAATTGCTTAATTTGGGTCTTAAGAAATTTACTACTTTTGTTTGGAGACTTCCTTTGGTTCCCCTCCCCAACTGAAGAAATTTTAAAACATTAAAAGTCATGCAGAGTTGAATAGGGTTTTGAACAAGAAATAAGATTTTTAGTATCATAAATTAGAATGTATAGATAGAATAAGGACAGGATTTGAATTACCTGGCAAATGCCCTGTAAAGCCAAGATTACCATTTTTTATTAAGACTATAAGAATAATTACTGCTGTTTGGTTTCTGGAGTCTAAAAGAATGTTTGTATCTGTAAGGGAATAAATTTTCCTTACTAAAACCAAACCCAAAGCTCTCGGCTTTGCCCTGAAATGAGAGACTCCCTTGAGAGGATGGGAGGTGGGGAGAGGCTGAATCAAAAAGCCTAGCTTGTTTCCTTTGGTTTCATCTTTCCCATAGATTTCTCTCTTTACCTCTTGGTCATCCCCATACATACTCCAGAGGAACAGTGTCTAGTACCATCCCCACCCTGTTCTCCCTACAAACAGTGCCTGAAAACAGGCCAGGCATAGAAACAAATCCCTTTGTTCCCTAGCAAATAGGAGTCAACTGGAATTTTTGAAAAGACTCCCTTAAAATGCTGAGGAAGAACAAAAAGGGAGTAAACAAAACAAATCAAGAATCATGAATAACATAGTCTGGTCTTCAAAGACTGAAGTTTCTGATTCTAGGTAGCTCAGTTCTAGGGCTGAACAACCCTGGTCAACTTTCTGAGGGAAACAGCTTCCCTTTGTGAGGTAAAGCCTGGTACAGCCTGTCCTGGGCCTCCCTTGAGGGTTTGCTTGCTAGCCTGGGGCAGTTTCCTCTTTGTGCTTGCATTTAACCTTCACATCTAACAGGGATAGAGTTTCTTTCTTTCTTTTTTTAAAAATTATTTTATTGACATCACATTGGTTTATAATGTGTAAATTTAAGGTGTACATTATTATATTTCAGCTTCTGTATAGACTGCGTCAGTTCACCACCAAAAGTCTAGTTTCCATCCATTGCTTTACTCAAGCCCCGTACCCCTTTTGCCCTCCCCCCAGCCCTTTCCCTTCTGGTAACCATCAATCTCTTCTCCTTATCTGTGTTTATCTTCCACATATGAGTGAAATTATATGTGGTATGGTATGATATTTGCCTTTCTCCATCTGACTTATCTCCCTTAGTGTAATACCCACAAGGTCCATCCCTGTTGTAACAAATGGTAAGATTTTGTCTTTTTTATGGCTGAGTAGTATTCCATTGTGTGTGTGTATGTGTGTGTGTGTGTGTGTATACACACCACATCTTTAGCCATTCATCTGTTGATGGGCACTATTGTTGCTTCCAAGTCTTGGCTATTGTGAATAATGCTGTGATGAACATAGGGGTGCATGTATCTTTCAAATTAGTGTTTTCATGTTCTTTAGATAAGTACCCAGAAATGGAATAGCTGGATCATATGGTATTTCTATTTTTGCTTTTTTGAGAAATCTCCATACTGTTTTCCATAGTGGCCTCACCAGTTTGCATTCCCACCAGCAGTGTATGAGGATTCCCTTTTCTCCACATCTTCTCCAACACTTGCTATTTCCTGTCTTTTTAGTAATAACCATTCTGATGGGTATGAGGTGATATCTCATTGTAGTTTCTATTTGCATTTCCCTAATGATTAGTGATGTTGAAAATCTTTTCATGTGCCTGTTGGCCATCTGTATATCTTCTTTGGAATCCTGAGAAAAAAGAACAAAGCTGGAGATATCACACTCCTTGAATTCACAATATACTACAAAGGTGAAGTAATCAAAACAGCATGGTACTGGCACAAAAACAGACACACTGGTCAATGAAACTGAATTGAGAGTGCAGAAATAAAACCATACATCTATGAAGAGCTAATTTTTAACAAGGGAGCCAAGAACATACAATGGAGAAAGGAAAGTCTGTTCAATAAACGGCGTTGGGGAAAACCGGACAGCCACATGCAAGAATGAAAGTAGACCATTGTCTTACAACATACAGAAAAATTAACTCAAAATGGATTAAAGACTTGAATGTGAGACCTGAAACCATAAAATTCCTAGAAGAAAACAGAGACAGTACTCTCTTTGAAATGGTCTTAGCAGCATCTTTTCGAATACCATGTCTACTCAGGCAAGGCAAACAAAAGAAAAAGTAGTCTCTCTTGTCAAGACGGCGCCATGAGCAGACGTTGAACTCACCTCCTCCCACGAACACAACTAGGTTACAACAATTTTGGGGAGAATCACCCTGGATTGAAAACTGAAAACTGGATAAAAAGAACCCCCACGACAAGGGACAGTCCTGACGAAGGCAGAAGAGGCAGTAACTCTGGCCAGAGAGGAAAAATGCCACCTTTGGGAGCAGTGGAGCTTCTCAGGCTGGCCAGGTGGGAGCCACCCTAAGGTACGAGCCCTCCCTGGAGGAGTGAGGTCCGGAACGGGGGCAATACTGCTATAACCATCCTTCGGACTCAGCCCAACTGAGAAGGGGGTCTTGCTGTCTGGCTTTGCTGGCTATTAACTGCAGCGAGGACACCCCCAGAAAAGCTATTGGCTAAAAGCCAAAAAGATCTGGGTCTTAAAGGGCCCATGCACAAACTCACTCATTGCAGCAACCTAAAATCACCAGAGAGAAGGCTGACTGTCCTTTGGTGAAATGAGACTCACCTGGTGGGCTCTGGGGGCATCTTGGTGAGAGGAGGGTCCTCTCTGGCGACTGAGGCATTGGTGGGGGCCATTGTTCTGAGCTGGTCCAGGCATGCTCATATGGACACCGGTGGGGGCCATTGAAGTGCATTCCTTGGGCTGTTAACCCAGGGGTCTGCCACTCCCACTAGAGCACGGATTTAATCCAGTTCAGCCAGGGCAGGCAACCTGCCCTAGGGACTGGCCCCAACTAACAGCAAGCCCTCAGGCTACTTTTCAGCCTGCATTGACTGAGTGCCTTGATCCTCTACAGGCAGGCAAGGGTGTCTGCCTCTGTGGAGCAGGGCCTGTGTGAGGACCAGGTCAACTGTGGGGGGCATTGGGGGAGAAGTGGGGGCCTCTGCAGTGTGGCATTGGGGTATGCTCCAGAGGGCTGAGAAGTGTGCATGGACCAGGACTGTGTTGGCAGGGTATGTGGTCCTGTAGGGGGTGAGGCTTATCAGTGGCAGAAGACTTGTGCTTCACAAATAGCCATAAAAAGGATCAGCCCCACCTTCCAAAGCCTGAAACAACTGAGTGCCCCCATGCCAAGGGCTAGCCCCACTCAGCTGCACTCCTAAGAGAACTAACAACAGCCTTGTTGGCCTCAGGCCTATCACAACTGTAGCCCCTGAGCCTAGCAACCAGCTACACTGGGTACCAACCCAATTAAGAGGACAATTGCAATAAGAGTGTGCTGATAGACTTTGTAGCCAACAGTGCTGAGGCCCCTCCAAACCAGATTTACAAACAGCTGGCCAGGGAAGGAAAGATCAGACTCCCTGGGTACCGGCAATGGGAGCAACCCTGCCACAGCAGAAGAACACAAGTAGCCCACAAAGGTGTCACTCCTGGTTCTTATGGTCTGGTGACGAGAGGGAAGCACACTGTTGGGCCTCATAAGGCATCTCATACATAAGGCCACTTCTCCAAGATCAGGAGACATAGCCGACTCACCTAGTACAAAGAAAATAGCACAGAGAAAGAGGCATAATGAGGAGGCAAAGGAATACTTTCTAAGCAAGGGAACAGTACAAAACCCAAGAAAAAGAACTAAATGAAACAGAAACTAGCAACCTATTGGACAAAGAATTCAAACAAAATATAATGAGGATGCTCACAGATATGTGGAGAAGAATGGATGAACACAGTGAGCACATCAGCAAAGAACTGGAAGATATAAAAATAAACCAATCAGAAATGAAGAATACAATACTCGAAATGAGAAATTCTCTAGAGGGACTCAATAGCAGAGTAGAGGAAGCAGAAGAACGGATCAGCGAGCTAGACGAAAGACTAGAAGAAATCACCCAAGCAGAACGGAAAAGAGAAAAAAGAATTAGACAGAATGAGAACAGTGTAAAGGAACTCTGGGACAATATCAAGCATGCTAACATTCGGATTATAGGGGTCCCAGAAGGAGAAGAGAGATACAAAGGGGCAGAAAATTTATTTGTCGAAATAATAGAGGAAAATTTTCCTCACCTGAGGAAGGAAACAGACATCCAAGTTCAGGAAGCACAGAGAGCTCCAAACAAGAGAAGCCCAAAGAGGCCCACACCAAGACATATTATAATCAAAATGTCTAAAATTAAAGACAAAGAGAGAATCCTAAAAGCAGCAAGAGAAAGGCCACAAGTGACATATAAAGGGAAGCCCATCAGGCTACCAGTGGACTTCTCAGCCAAGACCCTACAGGCGAGAAGAGAATGGCACGACATATTTAAAGTTCTAAAAGGAAAAAACCTACAACCAAGAATACTCTATCCATCAAGGTTGTCATTCAGAATGGAAGGAGAGATAAAGAGCTTTCCAGACAAGCAAAAATTAAAGGAGTTTATCACCAATAAACCAGTTCTGCAAGAAATGCTGAAGGAACTTATTTAAGTGGGAAAGCAATGACC